TGGACACTTTTCTTTAAAGAAAATTAAATTATTAAATATTTTAAAATAACTTAGTCTCAATAATAGAAATATTAAAGCCACGTAATCAATGACCAATTTGATTTATGATAAAATCCATCAGTTATAATGCATTTTTTATATTTTAAATCTTAATTTTATAATTTATCATATTTATTTGCAGATTTGCCAGACATGATTTAACGGCTCATATGCGTACTCATACAGGTGAACGCCCATTTGAATGCAATTTGTGTTCCAAGAGATTCACAACGACTGGTCAATTAAATCAGCATTCAAGAATACACACAGGTATTTATATAATCTAATCATATTTGCTATATTTATTTATTGATTTATTTGTAAGCAAGCCATAATCAATAATAATAAATATTATCTCAGGCTCTTGTCAATAATAAATTCATTATGTTACCTGACATATGTAATATTTTTAAATTAACGAACTGTATAATTGAAATACAACAATTCAATTATTTTTTTCCTTTCAGGAGAAAAGCCATTGTTTGCCGAATATGTAATAGAGGTTGTACAAGGAATAGCTATTTAAAACGTCACATGAGGATTCATCAGAATGCTCAAATAGTGACGGCACAAGACCTAATTCAACCAATCAGAAAGAAACATCAGCACATCAATAGCAACAACGCAAATTCTAAATGTGGTAGAGTTATAACAGTTGGAACATCTAACATTCTAAACATTATCTGGGACAGTCGAAGTTCTATAACTATAGTAAATAGTGATGGGACCTTATCTAGTGTGACTAGCCATGAATTAGAAACTACTACATTTATTACCGAAGATTCAGAGGTAACAGAAAGTAATGCAGATTTTTAAACGAAACAACTAAATCTGCCAAACAATAGATCCAACAATGTTGAAGATCAACAATATCAGCAGAAAAATTTGAGAGGACTTGCCCATAAGTGAAATTACACATAGTTAAAAATGTAGAACATCTTTTTAATAGTATTGAATAATTTTTAGTTTAACTAACAAGTATTACACTTTAATTTAGTTTATTTGAAGAAAAAAGCTTTGAATTAGGAGCATCTCATTGACTGTATTTATTATTGTGATTAACAGCCATATCTTTGGTTATATATTTTATTTAAATATTCATCTTTTCAATGAATTATTAGGATTTTCAAATTAAGTAGTGCATGATTGTTAAATATTTATATGACGGTACAAATGCAATTTATTATATTTCATATAATTATAAATAAAATTATTTATATAATTTTTTAATATATTTGTCTTTTATTAATTGTTTATGGGTACTACAGATTTAATATTCATTTTGTCATTTTAAGGGTATTTGAAAAAATAACTAACCTAAAATTAAGGTTCTGTCAAAGTGTATTTCTTTACGGTTGGTCATCCTGGCATATATCAATTTGTAGGGTTGGTCATTCATTGCGCAAAGTTCATTTCTCAACCCTGAGTCATCTTGGCGTTTCGTTGTCAAGCCAACTGCTAACTTCAGTACGTTTTGTGCGTTGAACGAGTGAGATCTTGTTGATGTTTCTTGACGAGTGAAATAAACATTAATAACGTTTGCTGTTATTGAATTCTCTAAACAATTGGATATTACACTATATTAACAGGTGATTAAGTTTTTTAATTTATTTAAAATGCTGAATTTTATTATTAACATGTGCCAAGCGTGCCGCCGGTCATGAAACCCTGTTCGGTCGATATTTTAATAGCAAAACACTGTTTGATGACACCCTTGCAAATGTCTAAAACGTGCTATGGGGTTGGAATATTTTAGATAAAACATACTTTAAATATATTCTAATGGCTATAAAATCTGATATAATGTTGTAGAAATTATAAAATCATATATTAATATTTAAGGGTATTTAATTCTTGAGGGCATGGTATAAATGTATGCTGAGGGTGAAAGATTGTAAAATGAAATATAATAATGACAAATGAAATATTACAAATATTGATCGAAAAGTGTTTTAAAATACATGTTTTGTTTTTAATTTCATGAAATTATCCAAATTTTCTTTTGAAATTATTTTGACATATATATATACAAAACTATTTCATATTATATTAACAAAATTTAATATTCATATTATATATAAACAAAATTATTGCATATTATACTAAATTAAACAACTGTTTAAAAAATGAAAAAGATCAAAAATTATTAACATAAATAAATGAAGAAATTCATACTAAATCCATTATTATATAAGAATATGTGTAAACATTTCAGACATTTGTGCAGGGCTGTAATATTATAAATATACTATTGTTTATTTATCTCCGAAACTACGTATTTTCTTTCATTTATATAAGTGTTGTATGATGAAAATAATTAAAAATATTGTGCTAAAATAAAATGTACTGCTGACAATAGCATAAACTAATTAACTAAACTAAATTTATACTAAACATTACATACTGTGGTGTTAAATTTAACAAAAATATTTGCAAATTATTTATTAGTTAATCATCTCCCTTGTTTAAATATTACTAACCATTAAATACTTAAATTAAGGTGTGTATGGCATCGTGCCTCGAGGCAAATTGCTGGAACTTTCCATTCCGTAACGAAATGTTCGAGAATTACTAAATGTTTTCTTATTATAAATACTGTAACATTGTCTAATATTTATAAGAGTTATACAAACTTAATTACAAAGTTAAAATTATTTATTTATAGAATATAAGTGAGCTTTAGAACTTCATCAAGAATTAAAATCAAAATCTGAATCATTTTCGATATACAAAAAAAAAATATTTTTAAGAAAAATAAATTTGGAAAAAAAAGTTTGAATTGTTTTTTTTCAAAAGCAATGTCAAAACAAGCAGAAAGTTTTTTGAATAATTCAAATCGGATGCTTAGCTCTTTCAAAAACTGCAATTTTTTGAGCATTTAGCTTGGTATCTCCAAAACGGCTGGACCTGCCTTTGCTCAAAACCAATCACCACTTCTCCATGTCATTACAAATTGAATACTTTTTGGAACATTCAAATCGGATGCTCCGTTCTCTCAAAAACCCGATTTCTATTTTTTGCACTTTTTGCTCCGTATCTCCGAAACGGCTGGACCTACCTTTGCCAAAAACTAATCAGCACATCTCCTTATCAATAAGAATCGAATGTTTTTTAAACCATTCAAATCGGTTGATCCGTGCGCCCGAAAAATTGTATCCATACATACATATACAACTCCATACACACATACACGCACACCCATTTTTTCTGAGGTACGCCAAAATGTTCAGAAACCTTCAAAACGTGAAGAAATGTAAAAAATTTCTCTACGGAAAGTTAATTAAACCATTTATTTTTTTAATTGAAGATTACTAACTATCAAATCAATTTATTAATTAGTGAATTGTCATATATAATTTTATTTATCATTTTTCAGATGGTCGAAACGATATCCAATTGTTAATTTAGGATATATAATTATTCTTATTGATATTCATTAGGATACAATGCTGAATATTAATATTTTTTTTTATTATTTTTTTTTTATTAATTGTTACAACAGCAATCAGAACTCTTACTATATATATGTTCTATAAGCTGTTTGGTTCAACGCTTATGATCTAAGATATCATTATGAGCGGCAACCCATCGGTTCACCATTCTTCTATGTATGGATTTATTATATTTTAGCTCTTATGTCTGATAGTTTACATATGATTGAGTGATGCAACTATGCCCACGAAGGACGATTTCCACTTGTAGTTATATTATTTATTTATTTATTTATTTATTTAAAAATATAGCCCACAGATTTCTGCAAGAGGACTCTAAAATACAATTATTTTAGATCTATAACCACAAGATTAAAAATAAATACCGTACAAATTTTTGGAACTCCGAACTATGTTTATAGCAAACTTGGAGTATTTGATTATTTCACATCATTCAAAGATTTTTATAATATAATAAATTCATAAATAATATCAATATCATTTATTTTTCAGCTGGAAGGATCAAATCGCCAGCAGTTGGGATTGCAGTAGCTCAATTTGAGCCTGCATTTGGGCTCAAGGCCCGAGTGTCGATTTTCTTGTTTCGGTGGATAAAAACGTCTTTTGTGAAAATATAAGTGATTTTAGTGGTTTCTGCAGTGCAAGTGTTTCACTGTTAGTTTAGTGGCTAAATATCGTGTTGGTTTTTAATTAAAAGTGATATCAATCAGCAGCATGATGGGTTTTAATGGATTACTTTTTGTTCTACTTTTCACTCACGGTAAGAATATAGAAATAATGCATGATCATACCTGAAATGACTTTTTACTTCTGTTTTGCATTGTGACTGAAAATTTGTTTTAATTTTATAACTTTTATTTTCTATTATGTATATATAGTGTTGGGCGGGGCACATAGGCCCAATTTTACTTTGAGAAATTATATTAATATAATTGTATTATTATATAATACAATAGAAATTATATTAATATAATTGTAAATATAATAATACAACTGTGAAAACCAAACGAATTATATCACAACAAATAACACATATCAAACAAACTGGCTGATTATGATCAGTGAAACCTCAAGTTAACTCACCATTGTAGAAATGTGTTTTTATTGCTGTTTTTCAAAAATTTGTAATCTGGTTCTTTTTACCCCATTGACGAGGTAGAATGGAACTGCCGGAGGGCAAAGAGGTCCAATGTTTTTTTTTTAAATTTTAAAGAGATTTTACGAAATAACAGCTACATTGTTCAACCAATGTAAACTATACATTTTATAGGTAAATTTTTACACAGATAACACTGTATATAACCTTGATCTAGTATTTCTTCAGAAGAGTTTGAATAACTATTTATTTAATTTATCAAATTTACTTTTTTATTCACTATTTTTTATTATTTACACTTTCGCCAGGGTAAAGGTGAAAAAAAGGGTGATTCTTTTTGCCCCATGTGTAAGCTTTTGTAGAGGTTATACATAAAAACATTAAACCCTAAGTGGTGAGGGTTAGCCACACTTGAGATTTATTTTTGCCCATTTCTTTTATTTTACTCGTATGTAATTTGTACTTAAAAAATACACACGGCCCTAAATTTCGACCTTTTTATCACAAACCCTGAAGTAATCTGAAGATACAACAGTTTTTGAAAGAAACCTGGGTACCATATAAATCTATGGCAAAGTTGTAAATTTTTCAACAGAGTTGTTCAACATAATTCAAAAATGAATGTTCGGATTTTAGCTTCGTAATTAAAAAATTAATGAATTAATGAAAAACACGGTAATAATATATAAAAACCTTGAATATCCAAATGTGCCAAATCAATTTAAAAGAAATTAGTGTCAGTTTAGATTGGCACTTGCAGTGACTATTAACCCTTACGGGACGGCACCGATTTCAAAATATTCTACTGTACCGCCTGTTGTAAACTTGATTTCGTTGTGTATGTTATGCAATTTGTTTGATAAAAATTTCATTGAAGGTCATTGAAAGACATACATTTATAATATTAATTTATTTGTAATCATTTTATAAAGAATGGTGACGTTCAAAACAATTTCCAAAATGCATAGCTGGTTGATTTTGACATGTTTTACAATAAAATGCTGTTCGCCGCCTTCCTCCTGGTGCTTTTCTGTTAGAACAGACAATACAATCCCTTTTCTTTCTCTCGCATTTAGAATATGACACTGATTAGTCAGTATATTTGTTCAATTTTTTGTTGCCATAATGGTTTATATTTTGTATTATATTGTCTAATAATTCATTTGTAAAATATAAAGTAAAATAATCTAATGGATGTCTTATATTGCTTGGTATTTGTAGTCGGGGTGTTTGTTGATGTATGTCAAACTCGATTATTAAAGGAGAATTGGCACATTCGCTAATGTCTTTTTCTTCTTTTTGTTGGTTGGACAATATCATCATCACATTCATCACTATCTTCTGTGCGAATAGTAATTTCGTAAAATTTGTCTGAATGAATGTCTATTTGAAACTCATCTTCACTACTGCTTCGTTCACAAAATTTACCAGTCGTTTTGCCATATTTAAAAATGCTCGGCCATTTTTTATTTAAAAAAAAACTATATAGCAGAGAAAATGGCTAAAAATACTACTAAAATGACTTAAAATTATTTTCAAAATGCAACACTGTTTATCACTGCTATAATTATGTAAGTTATTCAACGTTTCAATGCAAAATGAGTCATTGCTTATAAAATAGCCTGTGTCTCACAGAGTATGTTTGTCCACTCAGGTGGACAGCCGTCCCCAAAGAGTTAATATGTTTCAGAAATATTTATATGAAGCATGCGTTGCAGTGGGTAAACTATCCATTTAATTTGGGTTAGCTGCCTCTTTCACTTACATACCGCAGGTTTTACATTCACAATCAGTTATTTTTAATACCAAATTTATGAAGAAATATTTTTTTGGTTCAACAAGGTTTGCAGGGTCAGCTAGTATATATATTAAGTATATATATACTATAGAAGTATATCTACTTCCTACTGTCCAATTCGTTCAATTTGTTACTTTTTTTTAACTTCCCGTAGGGTAAGTTCTTGTAATGGGCCGAAATCGGAATTGAAATTTTTTACATTTCTCGACGTTTTGAAGGTTCCTGAACGTTTTGGCATACCTCAGAAAAAATGGATGTGTGTGTGTGTATGTATGTATGGATACAAATTTTCGCTCACGTTTTCGGGCGTACGGATCAACCGATTTGAATGGTTCAAAAAACATTCGGTTCCTATTGATAGGGAAAAGAGCTGATTAGTTTTTGGCAAAGGCAGGTCCAGCCGTTTCGGAGATACGGAGCAAAGAGTGCAGAAAATAAAAATCGAATTTTTGAGAGAACGGAGTATCCGATTTGAATGATCTAAAAAACATTCAATTAGTAATGATTGGGAGAAGTGTTTATTAGTTTTTGGCAAAGGCAGGCCCAACCATTTTGAAGATACAGAGCTAAATATGTAAAAAATGGCAATTTTTGAGAGAACTAAGCGTCCGATTTAAATGATTCAAAGAACTTTCTGCTTGTCTTAACAAAATAATTGATCTTGGAAAAAAAAATTTGTTCCATTTTTTTTTTATATCGAAGTTGTTTGTATATCGAAAATATTTCAGATTTTATTTTTAATTCTGACTATAGTTCTAATATACTTTACAAATAATTTCAACTCTGCAATTCAGTTTATATAATTCTTATAAATATTAGACAATGTTACAATATTTATAATAATCTATTTGAAAACATTAGTATTCCACGAACATTTCGTTACGGTACGGGAAGTTCCAGCAATTTGCCTTAAGGCACGATGCCATAATTGCCTCAAGACAGAATTCCACTTACAGCTAGTTTCATTCTTTGTTGCATTCCATATAAGTCTGCATTTTCGAATAATCTACATCTTACTCATTATACCTTTGAGCGTTCATCAAACGTGACTGGGTTCTCAAATTTTATGCAAATGTTAATATTTTTTCGAACAGAGTTTTCAATGATTATGTCTTTCTTTTTTTTTGAAGAGATCATTTTTGAACACCTTACTTTTATATATTTAAGATAAATTGCATTGGATAATTGTTAAAAACAGCACACACATTGATTGAATCAATATTCAAAATTAAAAGGTTTTTAATTATTTTGTTATATGTACTTGAAACACTATAAAAGGAAGTGGATAAGCTCTTCAATTAAAAATTGCATATTCACAAAAATTTATTACAAAAAATAATAAAACCTCAAGATGAGCATATAATCGAATCGAATCCAATGCAAATAAATTTAAAATATTTCTTCCTTAGTTTTGCCAAATTTTCATTGTAGGAATGAAGCCTACTTTTAATTGAACAATAGATTTTCAACATATTTTGAAACGTCAATGTTCTATGATCATCGTTTGCAAAAAAGGGCAATTAAAAGGCTCGTACTATTATGAGAATTTGATTTCAAACAATTTTCTAAATTAAAATTGAAGGTACAATTAATTTCAATATAAAGATGACGACGTAAAAAAGCATCATATTCACATGTGTGCATTTATCACAAGAATAAACTGATTTGAATTACGTGCTGCATTAGTAGGAGTTTCACAATCCTTGCGGGAGTCTTCAAGAATTTCAAGGCATGTCTAGATTTCTTAATACTGTATCAAACATCTTTATATGCAGAAAGCAAATTAGAATTGCACAATCGAAGCATTTTAATAGAGTAGTTCATTTATAATTAACCAATTAAAAATGTATAGTAGGATTAAATTAAACTTAATGTAGAAGAGGCAAACGACCTTTAATAAGATGAACCCAGAAAAAATAAATTGTTATCACATCACATGAATAAGATCTTTTTTGTACTTCATATCACATAACACATTTTAGTGTTTTATGAAACTCAAAACACTCATTAAAAGAAATATTATCAAAGGTAATAATTCTAAGTTGTAAAATGAATTTGAATACGAGAACCATCTAGAAATTTATTTGCATAAATAAGTGCAAAAAAAAAAACTAAATTTCAAAATGAATCTTTCCTTCGCAAAAAAATGCATTAAAACATATATCACGCAATTAGAATTAGATCATAGAACATTCGAAACTAAACAACCAAAAGTTCAATTTTCATGACGATCTTCATCATGATTCGAAAGTGTCCGAAGTCGCTTTGCGGAATCGGCTTTTATTTTTTTGAACAAACTTAGTATTAATAAACGGAAAATAATTCTTTGCCATATAAATTATTTCAAAGAAAAAGTATAAAACTTATTTAGAAAGTAGGATGTGGTATATGAAGAATGGGGTAGCTAGCACAAACAATAAAGTATGTACTCACGTACAAAAAGTTGTACATCTTTTCTTTTTGATACTCAAATATATAATGGCATGCACTCTCTTCATAGTACTCACGTACATAAAGAAGTACATACATTTATTATACTAAAGTCATTGATTACATGGTACTTATCATATAATATTGTACTCAAGTACATAATAGTGAACTCATTCATTTTAGTACTCATATAGCAGTACATCCATTCATTACAGTTTAGTATAATGTACTCACGTTCATAATAGTAAACTTATTTATTATAGAGGAAAGTCACCAAATATGGAATACCATTTTGTTTTTGGGTTGTAAAAAAAACTTCATATTAATAAAATCAGTTTTGTTTTTAATAATCAGTCATACATTTATATATAGTAATTAACAACCTTTTAATCAAAAACTAAAATCAAGAATGAGTGCACAATGAGTAACCAAATAT